GATGGCACGTGAGGGAAAATGGTCTTCTCCCTTTGGGTTTGAAGTGGTACAGTCAGGTCTACCACCTCATTCTTCAGCATGCTCCTAGCCCTCAGTGAGTTCTGTGCTAAAGAGTCCTACTTGAAGGCACACCATCGGGTCCTTTACATATGAATCAATTGCTCTGACTAAGGTGAGCTGGAAGGTAGAAGCAATATTCAAGTTTGCTGAAACAGGAGCTGAAGTTACAATAGATAACTATCCTTTAGTTATTTGGCCAAGAGCAATGATGCACACAAAAAGTAGTGGAATCTCTCAGGAAATTGGATGCCTTACTTCCCACTGATGTGAGCTAAAGCAAAACGGCTTTAGAACGCTGTTGAGTTGAACACAATGCCAGTTGTTTTTTTTAAGAACTTACTAGAAAGCTGAATCAAAGCGATGTGCTTTTGCTGCATTTTGATGCATAGCCTGCATTACGTTTGAAATTGCAGTCAATGCTCACATGGGCTGCTGGTTGATTTAGGAATTCACTGTCCATACGAGACAGGATGTGATTGACATTCTAGCCTACAGCTTTCTTTCCTTCCTGCCTGCCTGCCTCAGGCGAACTTTTTATAGGGTGTAAATGCCGGAAAATAATAAGGAGGACTCAGTGATAACATGATAGGGTGATCTAGCTCTAATCTCATACATGTACAATGTTTTTAATAATAATAAAAAAGGAAAGGTGATCAGGGAAAAGGCAAGAAGTCAGGGGCATGTTCTTCTCATCCTGAATATCATATCGTGACTGCGTATGTCACTGAAACAGCACCTGCAAACGTGCCCCCCTGTCTTCCCAAGAACATATCACAATTAACGACATGGGGTGGGGGAGACTGTTTGAAGGCCCTCAGCAGTAGAGGGGGAAAAAGCCACTTTGGGGCAAAAAGGGCTCGACCAATTTGAAACATCCTTTGCATCATGTGTATTTAGTAAAAAATACTTCGAATTCACCCGTTTTATAAGCAGAGCAAATCCCACTGTATTTGACCGTGTAATACAGCCTCCGTTTCTAGCTACCTTCTTTTCTTTGCTCTCTCTCTACATATCCGCACACACTTGTTATTTGCGTTCTGAAGCTTAAATTCTACGAGTGTGAATAGGTTCGTTTGAAACTTGAAGGAGTTCCTCCTTTTTTGGCGGGAAATAATGACTGAGACTTTTCCGAAACATTAACAACTTTATTTACGTTAACTTTTGGTGATGCCGCGATGACTTCTGTCAGATCAAAATGGCTTAAATTCGGCTCATCCTCCAATCCCTGATTTCGGCACTCCCCTCTGCTGGTGCAGTGGTCCAACAGAGAGGTAAAATGGCAGCCATGACCGGTCTAGCCCATTCAGGGATTGGAGGACTGGTAAGTATTTCTCTGTTAATACCTCCCCTAGAAAAAACACAAGCATTTAACCCTTGCTGTGCAGGGGCAGTTGTTTTTTTCTAAACTAAAAACTCAGTATTTAGGTTTAATTGCAGTGTTGGCACTTTGAAATACATACAGTGGTGCCTCGCTTGACGAGGATAATTTGTTCCGTTGAAATCGCTGTTAAGCGAAATCCTTGTCAAGCAAAACGAAAAAGCCCATTGAAATGCATTGAAACTAGTTCAATGCGTTCCAATGGGCTGGAAACTCACCGTCCAGCGAAGATCCTCCATAGGAGCGGCCATTTTCAGTGCCCGTAAAGCAGGGAATCCGTCCTGAAAACACAGCGGGGAGCCATTTTGCACAGCAGACGGCCATTTTAGAACCGCCGATCAGCTTTTTCAGAATCATTGTTTAGCGAAAAATCGGTTCCTGAAGCAAAAGCGATCGCAAAAACTTCATCGTTTTGTCATTTAACGAGGCAATCGTTAAGCGAGGCACCACAGAGGTTGGTTTTGTGTTGGCAGTTTGAGCACTCGGGCTCAAAGAGGACCCAAACCACCATAGCCTACAGCCCAGCAGGATTAGGCCAAAAGGTGGCCAGGGTAAATACACAGTTAGTCCCATGATAGAGGCAAAATAGAGGATGCCTTAGGTTGCCACAATTATAGTAGTCTTGACAGATGATTGATGCCTGATCGTCACAATTTGGCTGCTTTCTTTTCCGGTTCTTTTATGTTTTCATTTTGGCTTAAACAAAAAGCGGAGTTTCTAAACACTTGGTTTTAATTCCCAGGAATCTGTCAACAGGACTTAATCCTTTGCTCAGTTAGTGGAGTCTACCGCTGTCACAACTGAGTTACTGAAAATGAGCTAATAGTATTCCCGTTAGCGCCTGATTAATATAACACACTAGTGTTCTTGTTGCCTTAGTGTACAATAAGACACAGAATGGAACTACACTTTGGACTGAAAGGAACCGTTGTCAAATTGTGGTGGTAATACCTGAGTCTGGGACAGAAGTAGGAGACGTTGGAGTCAAACCCATAGCAAACTCAGGCAGTGTTGGAATTGCTTTCTGATAGCAGCCAAATGAATTGTATTGACGCTTTAGCTAATAAAGAACAGGATGGAAAATTAGATCTAACCTTTTAGTTTCATTGTTCCCTCGCAGCCTTTAATGGAATCTGAGTTCAGGCTTTGTGTATAAAAAGATTGAGCCAAATTAAGTTGAGGTTGACAGCCCTCTCTATTTAAACAGCATTACAGTGTGATTATCCTCTTAATGCTAGGAACTCAGTGTCCCATCATATTAAAACATAGATGGGGGAGTTCCTGGGTGCAGAAGAATAAATTATAGGCTGCAGTTTGATGCTAATTGTAAATATAGTGATCACTGTATTTGTGAAACATTTTAAATCCTGATCTGCCAGTCTTTTCTGCTTTATCTCTTATGGTTCATCACATCTTTATGTATCCCACCCAGCATAATTCACAACCATTTTCATTCTTATGGAAGCTGGAGGCAGGTGGAATGCAGGAAGGTTTGGTGCATCCAGGATTCAGGTTCTAAAGATTGCCCATCCCTGGTGTAAAACACTCTCTGTGTTAATGTAGGGCAGTGATGGTCTTGTAGCTCTATTCAGTGTTCTTCATGAACTTTATGTACAGTGGTGCCTCGCTTAACGGTGATAATCCGTTCCAGGAAAATCGCCATTAAGCGAAAACATCGCCTTGTAGCTCTATTCAGTGTTTTTCATGAACTTTATGTACATTCTCACAAACCCTAGATCAGGGTAGGAAACTTTTAGACCTCTGGAAGTTTGGCTTACAATAATCCCTACCCGGGAAAGTCTGTGGTGGAGGTCTGTGAAATTCATAGCCCAAAATTTAAAAGGATGATAATTTCCCCACCTTTACCTTAGATTTTAGAACATATTCTGCTACAAACCCAGATGATAGCTCTTTCCCCACATTTACTTTGGCAACACGATTACAGGGCACAGCAATTTCAAACACAACATCATTGTTTTTCTGCTAATATGATCTATGCCATCATTTACCAACAATCTATATAGGGTAATCTCTATGCAAAAAATTTAATGGACATAAACCAGACATCAGGAATGGCAATACACATAAGTCCATTTCAAATCATTTCAGTCTCAGGACACTCTTCATGGGATTTGAAAGTTGCTGTTCAGGAGAAGAAAAATTACAGAACAAGAATCTAGAGGGAGAATCCAGAGGGAGACAACTGAAATAAAATACATACTTATGCTTAATACCCATCTCAACAGATTAAATATTAGTCAAGGGTTCTTAAACCATACCAAAGGTGAAATACCACAATAAATATGTTGATGTCTGCTGTTATTTTCCATAGCCCACCTTCCTTCCCAACTACCACAGCCAGCTTTACACAACAAGCTACAAAAGAAAAGAACTGAATATCAAACAGGATCTTAAGTCATTACTAGGTGTAAAATGCCACATTCACACAGTTTGTAGCTTGTGTATATTAACCATACCAAATGCACAGTTACAGGATGGGGGATACCTGGCTCAGCAATACTACAAGTGAGAAGGACTGTGGAATTGTCGTAGATGCTGAATATGAGCCAACAGTGTGATGTGGCTACAAAAAAGGCAAATGCTGTTTTAGGCTGCGTTAGCAGAGGTGTATTTTCCAAATCCCATGAGGCTCTGGACATTACACCTCAAGAAGGATGCTGACAAATTGGAACAGGTTCAAAGGATGGCAACAAGAATGATCAGGGGGCTGAAAACCAAGCCGTATGAGGAAACACTGAAAGAACTGGCCATGTTTAGCCTTGAGAAAAGACTAAAGAGTGATAGGATAACACTTTGCAAATACTTGGAAGCAGTGGTGGGATTCAGCAGGCCAACAAACGGTTCTGCAGAATCAATAATAAATTAGCTACCGGTTCTGATAGGAAGCCGGATTTCGATTGAATATCAGAAAAAAAAACTCCTAACTGTTAGAGCAATACGACAGTGGAACCCATTACCTTGAGAGGTGGTGAGTGCTCCAACACTGGAGGCCTTCAAGAAAAACTTAGACAACCACCTGGCAGATATCCTTTGATTTGTATTCCTGCATTGAGCAGGGGATTTTTGGCCTTATAAGCCCCTTCCAACTTCTCTATTCTATGATTCTGTGATCTTATTATTTTGGCGGCTTCTACAAATGTATAAATAATTGCCATGTAATCTCCCTCTTATGTCTGAGGAAATGGATTTGATCCAGGAAAGCTCACATTAAAATATAGTGGCTAGTCTGCAATCCACTGGGCTTCTGTGGCCGATGTGGAGAGATTCCTTGGTAGACAGGTGAACAACTTGAAAGGGTTTGTGACCCTAAAAAAGGGTTTGTGACCCCTAAAAAACATGGTTACGAATAGCCGTGGTGGAAGAAGAATCTTTAATTTCATAGCATGTCTCATGAGGATTACGGGAAAATTGGGGGGGGGGAATGCAAATGCTTATTCTGTTAGACAAACAGCCAGAGTATGTGGTTTTCCTGAGTAACAGACGCTTCAGAGGAAATGCAAAATAAATACGTAGCTTACTCATGGTTATATTGTCTCATTTATTTGCCTTTTCCAGAATTTGTTCATTGTGTGCCAAGGCAGAAGCTGCATTTCTCTGTTGCTGAGAAGCGCAAGTGCGTCATAATATCAAGGGCAAGGAGATAGGAACGAGGTTTCATCTGGACAGTAGAAGATAAGAGGATCAAGAGTAGGTTCCATGCATTAACAGCCAAGGCAGAGTTCCAGGAGGAACTGTGATTAATAGACATGCCATTCTCTGGGGAACAAAGAAGGAAGATGGTCTCAGGTAACCCGAGATCCGTTGGTTAAAGAACCAACATGAAAGTGAGACCAGGAAAAGCAAAGAGGAGAGGAAAAATCTCACCAAGGAGCCAACAGAGTTTGAGGGCAGGCAGAAGAACCAGGCAAGAAACTCCAAAAATCTAAAGAATTCTGATGATTACTCAAGAAGGTAAAGCAAAAAAAAAGGTAAAGCAATGGGGTTAAGCATGGGTTCAGACTAGACAATGGAAAGCTACAGCGGGATTTTAAAGGCAGTGCTCCTGGCTGTAGGGTTAGGATGATCACCCTAGAGCCTAGGTTCTTAACCTGTGGTCCGTGGACTCCCAAGCGACTGCAGGGTCCTCACAGGAGGCTGTGAAGGCTTCAACAAATGTTATGATCTTTTGCAGTTAAAAAGAAAAAGAAAGAAAGAAAGAAAGAAAGAAAGAAAGAAAGAACAAAATATTGATTTTCCTTGCTTGTTTGTGTAAAAACTTGGCTTTTCTAATCTACTAGTCTAATCTAATCTACTAGTTCAATTTCTAATCTTCTAGTTCAATTTCCCACTAGAAACTGTGCATGCCTTATTTTGATATATACATTTTAAACTAAAATGTATGTGTAAATCCTGTAGACTAGGGTGCACTGATCTTAGAGGTGGAATTCTATTGGCCAGGGGGCTAATCCAGCAAGCTAGATGATATCTGGGGTTGGGTCTTTGCCTCATTTAGCCCTGTCATTTGGATTAAGTTAGATATGTATCCTGGCCAGAGAGGAAATTAACGACTGCATCACATTCTGTGTAGAACATCTTAAGAAGAGTATTTTCAGACTTCGACTCCTTTGAAATGGCAGCTCACAAAGTAATTAACAGAGTCTTGTCCCCCAGTTTCTTGGAGGTTGGCTTATTTTATTTGCAGAACTGACCGGCAGCTTACAATGAACAGTAAAATAAAAAGCCAAAACAATATATTAATAAAACAATATGAGAAAACCTGGCAATAGGGCACAGTGGTAATAAAATATCACGCCAGCATCAAACCACAGTATTGCAGCAACTGAACTATAAACTACATTTTGCATCTGTGTTTATCCTTCTCTTTCTGGTGCAGAGGTTTCTCCCCTTGCATTAGAGTACCCTGCATAAATGCTTCGTAAACACTAAGACAGAGAACACTTGATAGTCTGATCTGAGCCAAGAAAAAAGCTTGACCTGGCACCAAGGACCATTCGTGATTTGAACAGAGAGGGGTGTTGCACCCCCAAATTTCAGAGCGACCCCCCCCTTTCCTTTCAACCACGGCCTGCCTCCACCTGGTAACAAAAGGGCAAGAAATGCACGTCACCATAAAACTTGCAAAGGAGAGAATTCCCTAAAATAGGGTACAATGAAGGAAGTTCAGCTTTTTGACCCTCAAGAGCTTGGAAAAGTTACTTTTCGGTCTACAGCTCTGGCAGTCATCCAGCGGGCCATTCTGCTAGCTGGGGGATTTGTGATCCAAAAAAAGTAACTCTTCTAAACTCTCTTACCTATTTTTATTTATTTATTTAAAATATTTTTACACCACCTTTCTTCTTGAAAAGGACCCTGAGGTACTGATCCATGCCCCCCAGTAGAGCAGTGGATGGATCCTGGGCATATGGAATACAGCCTTCTCGGTAATGGCAGGTGAACTGTGAAATGTGACCATGTGCAGGGCCGGCCCTGTCGTTTGACAAAGGGAGGGAGTGGCCTCCATCAAACGTACTGCAATATCCCGAAAGAGCAGGAAATCTTTATTTGTTTTATTTTTGCTGCTGCAGTTGGAAAGATGTGCTTATGAGATTTTCTCCATCATGTGACAAAAGAATTGGTCTGGCCTGGAGTACTGTATCCTATGACTTTGTGGAATGGAGAGAGATTTATTGCAAAGCCTTCCATGTCTGGAACCAAGCTGGCCTGTGTCCCAGCATACCTTTTTTCAGGCTACATGAAAGGTCACACATTCCATCTCAAGATTTTCACTAAAAGTGCAGACTGCTTGGCATTTCCCTCTCTTTTGCTTCGATTGATGGAAATATGAAAGCTTAAATGTGATTTAAGGATCTTTCGTTTGGCCAAAGGAAGGCGGTATCTCAGAGTGGGTTTTGGCATCATCCTGAAAGCTGTGAAAAATGGTTATTTGGGAGTCTTCTGCGGGAAAGCATTGGCTGGCTGGCTGGCTGTACTTCTGCCTATTCTGCTTTTGGCACACATTTCTGCTGGTATATTATACTTCAAATGATTCTTTGTTGTTTGGTGCTTCGGAGAAGGATAGTTTTTGGAGAGATGGGGTTAGAGAGTTTATATTAATATGCGATGTAGACGAGCCTCCAGAAAAGAATTTGCAAATGCCAGGACTTGGTGAGATTTTAAAACAACAACAAAAAATTTAGTCCTTTTAATCATTAACGGCCATCATTCATTCCAAGGCTTAAAAAGTAACTAATTGCTTTCTTTCCCCATAACTCCTTGTTTCTTCTTTTAAGAGGCAGAAAAACTGCGGACGGAGAAGCAAAGGGCATGAAAAGAATCCTGCCAGAATGTCTCTAAAAATGCCTTCAAATTAAAAGTAACTTTTGAAAGCAAGTAGAATATGTTGGTAATCATTCCAATAAAGTGATTTCATACTCTTTATGTTACATTTGAAATATGACTTCATTATACCCTAATTACAAAAAAATGACTAGCTGCACAAACTTTGTGGCTCATTATTTCCAAGCTCTGGAAAATATCAAGGTTGGCCTGAAGCACCTTGCAAGATGGCTCCCTTCCCCATTCCTGGAGCAGAGGCTGACAGAAGTGGCACATGAACTCATCAGTGCTAATAGGGCAGGCCACGTGGCCACATGTGGATTTGAGGCCCACGTTTTTGTCACTATTCTCTGTCCCTAACATCTGCTGCCTGAGGCAGCTGCCTCACTCCACGTTTTTGTCACTATTATCTGTTCCTAACATCTGCTGCCTCACTCTGCCTAATGGTAGGGTTGGGATTACCATGGCCAGTATCGGTCCTGCCACCTTCACAAGTGCACTTGGTAGCACACTGGGAGAGAGGCCTTCTCTGTTGCTGCTCCCAGACTCTGGAACTCCCTCCCACTGGAGGCCAGACTGGCCCCATCTTTGCTGATCTCCCGCAAGCAGGCAAAGACCTTTCTCTTCAGGCAAGCGTTCACTGAGTGACTTGGCTAGCTGAATGTTACTTTTTTTGTTTTAATGGGTTGTTGTACTTTACTGTTTTGAATGTGTTTTGGTATTGTTTATGTTTTTTATTATGGTATTCGTGTGATTTTTTTTTTAGTATTTGTATACTCACTGTAGTATGGTATTTGTGTGGTTTTTTTTTAGTATTTGTATACTCACTGTTGTTATACTTAATATTATCTTTCAGTGATGTAAGTGACCTTGAGTCCTTTTTAAGGACAAAGGTAGGCTAAAAATTGGATGGATGGATGGATGGATGGATGGATGGATGGATGGATGGATGGATGGATGGATGGATGGATATCAGACAGCAGATACAGGAGGACAACATTGACAGTCTCCAGCTATTCCTTCTAAGTCTTCATCTAAGCTGTTCCATCTCCTCGAGGAACTGTGCGTATCTCATGCGATCTGCCTCAGAAAATGGAAATAAGTAATAGAAATTACTTTGTAAAATCTAGAAACAAGCAATTCAGTGTTTTAATGGTTAAAGCTGCTAACACCATTATTCTTTGCAACTCATTGTTGCAGACAGAACAGTTTCATGATTTAAGCACTTGGTGACTTGAACAATGTACTGTATTAAGCTTTTCAGCACTTGTGCTCATGGAATTTACTTGCCGAAAGGCTTTCATGTTGAGCTCACTGGTGCTACCTTTGGCAAATGCATGAAGTACTGTATATTGGAAAAGAATAAGACAGATATTTCTCTGATGAAATGTTTGCCTTTAGCGCCTCATATGTGTTCAGGAAAAGTGGACACTGGAGTTTACCTGAGTTTGCTCAAATCCTAGTAGGCTTGGCCCTAGTAACTGACATGCATGATGTGGAGGCAGAAATGAACTCATTCACTTTTTTCCTACTGGAAATGAGTATCCATTTCTCTGGAAATGTATTTGATTGTATAACTTCATTGCCTGCTCTGTATTTCTCTTTGGGAAGTTCCAGGAAGTGGCAAGACCCACCTGGGGTCCTTTTTAAAGAGAAAGGTGGGATAGAAATATTTTAAATAAGTAAGGAAATAAATACATAAGAGCTGCTGGTGGTGGTGGTGGTGGTTTTCCTGAAGAGAAAGAGCTGGAGAGAAAGGTGTAGCATTTATTTGATTCGTTTACACCAGTGAAACTTAAATTGGATATTTTAGCATGCCCTGCTACTAGTAGAAGATCCAGCAACTTTCTAGAAGCCACCCCACATCTCAAGATGCAATAGTGCTGTCTATCTGTTCTACATTTTTAATTTATTGATTACTCCCAACTCTCCTCAGATTTTCCTCTTACAAACTTAGGTTGATGTATGCAGCTATTCTCTCTCTCTCTCTCTTTCTCATTCTCCTGACTGCCTTATCTTCACAAAATCCCCGGGGACAGGACCAAGGTCATCCAATGAGATTTGTGGCTCAGTGGAGCCTAGAATCTGGATCTCCTTTGATCCCATGTTGGTGCTTTGACCTGCCACATCCTGCTTCTCTCTCAGAGTGTCAACCTTCCAGCAAGAACCACTTCATGTCAATTAACTCCTACACACGAGCAAATAACGTCAACCATCGATGAACGTTCTTTTGTCATCATCCCTGGTCCTGCCAAGTTTCTTCCTCGTTTTCCATTATTTTTTAGGCTGAGCCCTACCAACACAGCTGGTCACAGTGACTGTTAACTCCTACACACGAGCAAATAATGTCAACCATCAATGAATGTTCTTTTGTCATCATCCCTGGCCCTACCAACACAGCTGGTCACAGTGACTCAGGCAGCGTTCCTGCCTTAATATTTACACCCTTGTGTCTGTTAGGCATTTGCAGACGTCTCTTATGCCTGCGTCTTTGATTTATCCTGTTAAGAATCTGTTTATCCCTGCAAAAACAAAAGAAGAGAAAAATGAAAGAATAACAAAAACATTATGGGACCTTAAGGGCTAGTTGTTATATTTCAATTTAAGCTTTCGTGGACAAATGTTCTTTTGTTTTTGTCTGATATGCTAGCTC